CGCTCAGATAAACTCAGAAGGCCACGATTGCCATCGAGAGTGAGTACAGGTCTAAATGAATCTAGTAGTTACTGGCTGGAACATCTAAGAGGCCATCTGGGGTGAGGGCATAGAACTGATGCATGAAAATGTCACTCCGCTCTCAGATTTACAACGCAGTTATGTGTTAACATTCGAAGTAGAATTAATCTGGGGCTTCATAGAGGCAGATTCCGCCGGAGGTGACGATGCTTTATGCAAAATATTATCGGCCCAGGATAGAGGGGTAGTGAGATTTTGCGTTCAATTTCACAGCAGAAAACAACACGGCCCGGACAGGAGGAAATACGAGCTGATTGCGAAAGTTGCAGAATGTTCCTAATCAATCTGAATTAATTTCGCAAAAACCCTATCTAACGAGGTGAAGTCAGGTCAGGCGTGCGAGGTCTTTCGTCTGATAATTCAGGGCAATTCACATGTAGAGTCAAAGGACAAAATAGCATTTGTTTGAAGTAAGTACTGTGACAGAAGATTAGAAACGCCAGTTTTCTATGACGATTAGAACATAAACTCAGCACATGTAAGCGTATAGACTAGCAGCAAACACTACGATGTATTGGTTTGTTTTTATCTGTTTCCTCCAACCCAAATCCAACTAATTTAAACCTAAAATAAATTTAAAAAAACTCGCAGAAGTCACTTCGAACAGAGATGTACCAGTCAGAATGAGGTCTGGCGAAACTGTCCCTTGAATAGAAGGCACCCGGATAATTTCCAATTAAGCATTGGCAAAAGCATTTTAAGTATTGCACCTCCTATACCCCTAGTCCCAGCATTTTTTCCTATGGAAACGGTGGTCATAGGAGCTGAGTAGTGGAGAAATAGGATAAGCAGTGAAGTAAATTTGCAGAAGTTAGTATTAAATGGAAAAATTTAGTTACAGTTATTTTCCGCGGCCACTGGGAGTAAGTTGTTCTGCGTGTAAATTGAAGGTTTGCGCGGAGCTTCGCGCTGTGGACTATGCTAATCTAACTCCAGAACGGTAAGTTGGACCTCAGGTACGTTGAATTAGACGACCTTTCAACCATAATTTCTAATTTTTCAGAAATTCCTAGAAACCTGCATTTTGATAATCGGGTTTTCCACAATACGTTGAACAATAATACAGATTAGGAAAATCGACATGTATAAATTAACAGCATTTCTAAATACAATAACATAAAAATGCATGTAGCACGCATGTCGCCACCTACAAAACCCCTAATACCGCCGTTTCCTTGGGAGAAATTGCTGCGACTAGGAGTCTATGAGGTACACTACTTAAAATACCGTTACCGAAGGATTTTCTTCACGTCATATTTACCTGGGAGAACGCGTAATGCACACGAATATTAAGTTTCCGTTGCTGAATAGACGCTTCATCGATCACTCGCGTTTCCCGTTCTGCCTTGACGCGCACTCTTGGCCCACGCCAGCAGCAGCCACAGAGTGCCGACAGAGATAAAGGAAACTGCAATGGTCATTTCGGGCTTACGAACCGTCATCAGGCAGCTATAATCAACCCTGCGTGGTGCATCAATCGAGGCTCGAAGCCTATTGATTAGAAATTAAACGCCCTACCCCAGTGGGCCACGGCTCGATGTCTTCCCGGCTTCGATTAGTTGGGGGACGCTCAGATGTCAGTTGTGGGATACACTCATCCCGTCCTGTCATGGTGGGGCTTGAAATCTCAAATATTGTGTATTTTGCGTTCCGAAAAAAACCTTTTTCATCCAGATTTCCGGCGAAAATCGACTTTGATATACATCCAATAAATTGTTTAGGGTAAAAAATATCTAGCGCCAAATCGGCCCATTAGTGTGCGATTTACCTGTTAGGTAACTGAAAAAGTTCCAACGAAAATTTCGTCACCAACCGGAGTGTCAATTTTGGACCACGCAAATCATCTGAGATATGAAATGGGTAAGCATGCTTGCAGTGCTAAATTATTGCCCTGACCAAACGCTATCTCATCAATTACTGTTCAGGTCTTTTAATGCGATGAGGACTGTCATCAGTTTCTCCGTGTACACTACCAACACATCGATTTTTGAAACAAGGTTATATTTGCATGTACGATCCCGTGCATGTACAATGTCGGCTACACTACAGCATATGTCTGCAGTCGCTAAGCAACTATCTGCGATCACCCAAGAACGAGCTTCAAAGTACAACGACACAGATATAGTCCCCAATCAGATAGATCAGATGAATACCCAGTTCCATCATATTCTCTGTTAATACCGACAAAGTATCGAGCCCGTGGTGCAGTCGTATAGTGTTAAACTCAATGACCAGAGGTCGCAGGTTCGAATCCTGGAGGTTTCGATCCTTGAGATTGAGTATGACTGACTGATGACAGCTAACTAGCTAGAATTGGCCATTCCGGTCTCCCTTGTCTTTGTCGGTTCCACTTGATATATATATATATATATAT